AGTCAGAGAACATTTGCATTCAAAACTGAGAGAAGCTACCAACATGAATTACAGAAAGGCCCAAAGTAAACTTTTGTGGCAGATATGTCAGTTTTGATCAACATCAAGCGATTAACAACAATGTTATAATCGAACTGGTAGGACCAATAACCTGGGCTTATGAAAATATCGTGAAAAACAGATCGTCTCACAAATAGTAGTGTTGGGTAGTGTTAATTGTATTGAAAGACTTTCACCGGTTTTGTTATTCTCAATCATTCAGCTTTCGATTTACTCGATAGGTGAACTTCAACACTGCTCTGCTATTGCCGGAACAGTTGTGGAAAACAACCGACGGTTTTTCGCTCTGGTAAGAATGGGAAATATTCCTGACTGGAGTATGGCGGGCGTACCTCAACGATGAGAAATGTTTCAAACTATGGAAATTAGCCGCACGTTACTTGCAGGTAAGAGAATTTTCCTCCATAATGTTTGCATGGTTTGTTTATGCACAAGCTTTTCGTTGAAATGAACTTATACCTGATGTTGATTTTCCGATGAATTGATTGAAAAATTCCTTTGAGGTTATTTCGCACGTTTTTTAAGAGTTTTTAGACTGACTTTTTAACGATCTATCTCTATATGTTCCTCATTGACGCAAGACTAATTGTTCAAAGATGAGATCTATGCACCCATAGAGCAAAATATTTTCAAATATGTTTTGATGAACTCCGCAAAAATCGAAACAACTCTTAGCTTCAGACTTGTAATTTAAAATTATTAAGTAGTTTTTCACGCATCTGCATGATGCCCTTCTTGTCGCATCGAGGGCGACTTTGCCAATTCCTTCCCAATTGGTAACCGTTTAGATAGAGTAACATTTAAAAGTTTTATTGTTAAAGGTCTCTCCACTTTAATTTATGCAGTTCTGTCTTTAAGAGTGTATTTTAGTTTCATCTATTAACAAAACCACGAAAACAATTGAAATATTTATCAAAGTTGACCACATAGCTATGCAACATAATTAAATTCTCTCTCTTGCTCTTTTCCTGATCCGGCTAGAAAAAATAACAAGGCCTCGTCAAAGTCTAAGTATTGCATTTATTTCTCTGGATTTCTGGAAACATTCTTTTCTACTAAGTTCGTTGAACTAAAGTGATTGATCAAATTTGTTTGTCAGATTACGTGCCGTGTGTAATCGAGAAGAATTAAGGAGAACGAATACTCTTATTGTATTCTATTTCTACAGTAAACGACGACATATTCAAATTAGCTTCTGACAGTTTGCTAACAGGAATTATTTCGCCATCGATATTGATTTGCCTGAACCAAGTCTTTTATCAGTCTACCAGACAGAGAATTTCTGGATTTTCCTTTTTGAAAAATCTGTACCTAAAACATGTCTGACCTAATCATTTAACTTCCTTTTTTTCAGTCATACTATCAAAAGAACGATGTAGAGTGTACTTGTCAAATTATACTGGCATGAACTGAATTAATAACTTCACTTGCTAAATCATTTTTTAGGGACATTTTGCTAACACTCAGAAACTATTGGTGACAGGTAAGCGAATGAGAAGAGCAAACTGATTTACTCAGCTAACGATCGATAAATGTGATAACTTTCTTTAGACAAAGAATCAGTTGAAAAAACACAGCTCATCGTTGCCTCACATGAGATTCATTAAAACTGTTGGGCTTTGGGAATGTAAGGGAACTCAGTAATCATATCGTGACGAAGTTATCTTATCGTGACAAGATGAAGAATGAGAGCAGCGCATGGTGAGCAAACAAACGAGCCACCACAAACTGAAATGATAGAAACCAAGGACGATTAGGAGCTAAATGCAGTTCTTTTTTACTCAATCCCTCTTCCATTTTCATCAATGTGAAATTTGATGTTCGTTCTCCTTCTTCCTCCAATTTGCTCTCAAGCTACCCAGGCGCTGGGGTACCCTAAGGAAAGTAATCATTTTGTATCGGGAAAATTCCTTTTAGCTTCATTTTTAACGAAAATATTTCTTGAACGAGAGAAGCTAAATGCTGTATAACTTATTTATACGGTAGTGGTACATACTAGACACGACTGAAAGAATACTAACGCTCTTTAATTTTGCGCCTAACACGAATTAGAATTGATTTTTTTTTTAACTTCCCAGCTTATCCCATCACGAGGGATACTTATGTTCTTCAAAATAAAAATCATGTCTCTAAATCCCGCATATTGTATATCGAGGTTTATCTAAAGTGAAATAAAATTTGGAAATCTTCGAATGACAAAAGGAAAATGCTCTTTGTTTTAAAAAAACATCTTTCACCTCCTCATATCAAGTTGTTTGTCGCATTCAGGAACTTTTGAAGAGCTCTATCAAGGAAAACTACACGATCGACTTTAATAGGTAGGATGTACGAAAGATCATAGAAGTTTTTTATGAGACGACATGTATTTCAATTTAAAATGGTCTTACTGGGTTTACTTGATAGAGCTGAAAGCCGAGAAATATGATTGTCCCAAGCAGAA